ATTCCAGTCTGTTGGGGCTTTGAAAATGAACGCTCTTCTGCCAATACATTTTTTTGCAGAGGGGACAGAGAAATAAATCAGAACAGAATGTCTAACTTGATGATTTGGTGAGTAGGGTACAAAATACTGCATTAAATAAGGGGGATAGTTAAGATAAATGCATTTAAATATCAGCTGAAGCCAATGTGTGTGTCTTCTTACATTTAATGAAGGCCATTTAAGTTGTTATACATTGTGCAGTGATGTGTACGAAAAGGACAACCAAGAACAAATCTGCATAGTCTATTGTAGGCTATTTTGAGTGGAGCAAGATCTGATTTATGTGCATTTTGTTAGTCAACATCACAATAGTCCATAATCGGAAGAATAAGTTGAGAATTCTCTTTCGGACACTGAGCGTAAAACAATTGCGAGAGCGGTGTAAAACACCAATTCCGTAATTCCGTAATTGACTTTTTGTATTACATGCTTTATATGTAGTTTAAATGAAAGTTCAGAGTCTAGCCATACACCAAGATATTTAAAGCTATCAACTTTATGCAGAGAAGTGCCATCCTTACATGTTATTACTACATTAGGTTTGGATTTGAGCTTCTGCCTGGTACCAAAGACCGTGGTATAAGATTTTGTTTTGTTAAGCAGTAGTTTATTGTGTGATAGCCAGTCCTGTAAGATATTAAAATATGATTGAAGAGAGATCTGAATTTGTGAAAAATCAGATGTGGATGTATATATGACAGTGTCATCAGCATAAAGGTGAGTACAACACTTAATGAGACAAGAAGATAAATCATTTATGTAAATAGAAAACAGAAGTGGGCCCAGAGTTGATCCTTGGGGTACACCCTTATAATAAATTATAATATTCTTTGCAAGCTCTTGTGGGGCCACAGAAAATGAAGTCACGGGCGGGATTTGGCCCCCAGGCCTTGAGTTTGACACCCCTGTCCTAGAGACAATGATTAACACTGTAAAGCGGAGGAATCAGTAGTGTTTGCTATATCATTCTCAATAAATAAATCACTTGTACGTGGTTCTAAAAAGAAATCACATCTTTGTTTCCAAAACTACTGCTCTCTGATGAAATATATTTTTGGCGAAGTACTGTGTTCTAGCAGACCATACAGACAGTACATTATGAATGAGCTGTGCTCTCCTGTTTCACCGTCTCACTCTCTCAGGAGGTTCTGGATATCCTCGTCTGGGACATCAGGTAGAACTATAGAAGGAAGCTATTTCAAGATTTCTTTCAGGGGACCATAGATAATAAAGTTTTTATTCCAACTATTTATTTTGAAACTCAGGAACAGCAGGTATTCTTTTCATGTGCTAGCCAACAAGCCACCATTTTACTTACACGTTTTAAATGCAAGTCTTTTGCCGTTTTTACTGACGAGCCACTTGAACTAATCCAATCAAGTCGTTGGTACGCCAACTTACTTAAACACCTTTATGTCAGGGAGAGCTTGTCAAAAGGAGTCTCTTCAATTTATCTTTCTATAGAATAACCTTCATGAACAACACCACTGACCCCTTTGTTAGCAGCATGAAGATATAACAATAAAGTCACTGCAGTCTACATATACTTTCCAATAGCCCAGCACAGCGAGGGGGTCATGCTTATGGTTTTATTTATCTGTTGGATGGGAGAATAGCAGCACCTTAAAACGTGATGACAAGTCACTTTTAACAACACTGTTTCCAATGTGGCCATCAGTTATTGTGTGTACTGTATAACTGTCAGTGCCCCCTTTAAACCATTCCGTTCTAGGCAACTAGGAAACTGCAGGGAGAACATTTGAAAAAATAATTTTACTTATACACTCACACCTTGAGATTGTCTTCTTTGTATCACCACATATTTGCCCTCAGTCTAATTGCAACTGCATTGGCCAAGTTCTCACTCTAAGATTTAAATAAATGAAGCCCTACATGAGACATATCTGGAAAAACACATGGGAGCCTGTCTGAGGTAACAATCCAGAGCAGTGTTGGGGCTAAACTAATTTCCTCCTTCTTTCCCAACCTTTAAAAAAACAGAAACTACTGTTCATGTCCCTAATGAAACCAAGTCAATTTACCACAGTTCAAATATACAACTGTGACTTTAATAACGTACCAACTGCACTATTTTTACCTATCCAAGTACTTTTGTTGACCAAAACCTATTCGACTCGTCAACCATGTGTTCAAAACTGTATCTGTAACCTGTAGAATTCTCTGTAAAGCTAATACGTTTTCCTCAAAAGCTTATGAAGAATGTTATGGGGACGTCATATTAGAGGAGTTCTTCTGGGTATCAATGAAAAGTAAACTTTGTTGTTTAGTCAAATCACGTTTTGGTTGTTCAGTTAGCAAAACTTGTGTTTTTTATGTGTGATTCAATGTCAAACTCTTTGTATAAACACTCAATGTTTGAATATTTCTGAAACTAAATACGTTAATTTAACATTAAATTAGTCACTTTCAACAAATTGATTCCGCATATGTTCATTCAGAATATATTACTTGATAACTTGACTAAAATTGGCAGCTTAATTGCTGAAAACAATGCACCAGGTGGCACTGTTTAATGATCCATTGAAACATTATTCGTGAGGCAATTTAAGCTTAAATTAGATACATAAAAATGTGTAAAAAAAAAACAATCGACGTTTTTTTAGAGAAGTTTGTTATTACGGAAATTAGAATTAATGTCTACCCACAAGACAAGCCTTTCATTATGTCGGATGAATCTGGTCCACCCAGTTGCAAGAATTGTGTTAAATAGTGTTTTAATTTTGCAGCATGACTATTCATGCAAACATTTGTCTCACCTCAGCTAAACTGCTCCGTCTAGCGCCAAAAAACTGGCATTGTCGTGTGTCAAACCCGTTTTATAACAATATGTAGCAAACACTTGCAATGACCTCGAAGCTTCTCAGCGTAGTTCGAGCCACCTGGGCATACCTTACCTTGGAAAGTATCTAGGGTTTTAGCAGAGAATGTTATTTTTATCTAGGTTTTCCACAGCCAAATCCCCCAGGGGAGTGTAAGTTGTACAGGATAGTGATGTATGATGTTCACACTTTCTTTTATTTATTTATTTTTCTGAATAGAGCTCACAGGCAGCTCTTGGTATCGAGGTGTTTTGGAGACTGGAACGGCTGCCAACAGACTTCTTCATCCCCTAGATTAGCTCACTGCCGCTTCACCACGTGCAGTATTTCAATGTCAGAACATTTCCACGTTGTCGCCACCGGCGGTTCTATTCTAATGAACGCCGGCTTATTGTACTGTCAGTCATTCTGGGATTTTTGTCTACTCTTGTTGGAGTTTTCCTTATGGCACTATTGTTTCAACTTTTATTTTACATACCTCATATGCAATGATCTTTTCGCTGCTTGACCCGGGGGCAATGGGCTCCCAGTACACCTCGATCTCAGACGCTGACACAGCACGGGCCCATACTCTGGATGGCGCCTCCGAGGGCTCTAAAAACATGAATTATGCATGTGTGCAATTAAGAGTGCAGTCACTGTGATCAACTTCTGTTTGCAGCATGTGCAGGTTAGTTCTCTCACCTTCTTCTGCGGATAAAACGGTCAGGATCCGGCTGAACGGCCCCTCTCCCATGCTGTTGTAGACTCCCACTTTCACTTCAAACTGGGACAGAGGAGCGATGCTTTCGTTTCTGTATATATATCTCGATGCATCAGGCGACACCAGCACTGTCTGGACCCAGGTGCTGCTGCCTAGTGGGCGGAAAGCCACAACGTAGCCAAAGTCCTCTCCGCTCTGCTGTTCCTCTGAAACCGGCTGAGAGAAGACAGGAAAGTTACGCCTTTGACCCACACAACTGTGAGCAGAAATTGAATTAGGGGAGTTGTAAAAGAAAGTCAAAGAATAGTGTTTTATGTCTAACAAACTATGGAGAAAATGCACCTACCCAGCAACTTTCTACTCTTAGGAACACATCAAAAAAGTTGTAAAGTTGTCAACTCATTCTGGATTTACTCGTATGAAATTTGCACTAGCTCTGTGTCCTTATTCTGATTTACACAACAGGGGGGAGTCAGCAGGCAGGCAGCAAATCAGAAGAGCTCTGCCTTTAATTAAAAGCCATTCCACTGAAGCCAGGCCAATGCAGGAACACACTGACTCTGCCAAAAGTCCTTTCTCCTCTAAAGATTTAAAGAATGCTCTGTCACAATGAATGCCCACTCAGAAATGTTAATAATCCTCTTACCTCCCACATGATGACAAGTTCTCCTCGAGCTCCTCCGCCACCACTCACATTAACTGGTGCAACCTTAGGAACTAAGCAAAAAAAAAAAACATAATCATCCCCTCGTTTGGGTTGTTAAGTCTCAGGCAGGAGCTGCAGAGCTTTGAACAACAGTTCTGGTTTACAAAAAACACGTTTATCCCACGGCGGAGGAATTGGGTTTTTATTGACAGTTGCATTACCGCCCATGTAAGGTGACGCTAATAGCCGAGGCGCCGTATGTCAGCGCCATGTGTGAGGCGCGGCAGGAAACTTGTTCCCTTGTGATTCAACCGGCGGGATATAATTACTCAGCTAACCAGCTCGAAAATAGAAGCTTTCATGTGGATGCCTCATGTGCGGATAGGTCACGCATTTCTGTCGATTAATTAAGCGTATGGGCAGACAAACACAAAGTAGTGTTGATATTAAAAAGTGGACCGCAATTTCATGAAAACGAACAACACAGTTGAACAACACATGGAGCACTAAAGGAAACGGTTGAATCACTTTTTCCAAGGAGGACTGATTGTTATAAATAGGGACAACAAACTGAGAGGATACCTGCTGCTTTGGTTCGGGTCTGTTTTGAAGGCGTGCTGGGTTCTCCAACACCAACACTGTTGATTGCAACCACCCTGAATTCATAATCCACCCAGGGGTTCAAATCTCTCACTGTTGCACGCATCATCTGTCCAGGCACAGAATCAGGAACTAGGATTAAAGAATTTAAAAGTTTAGATGGTTTGTTTTACTGAGGCACATTTCACATTTTGTTTCCAACAAATAGAAAACATTTCACCCAAACTAAAGTACATCACAAATGAAATGGATACATTTGATTATATATTCCAATAGAGTGGTGCAGCGATGATGTATTTGTGAATGCCATAACCAGAAGTTAGCATAGTTTCCTCATTGGATTTCGATATATTTAATATAAGTTTTGTGGCCAACACACTTTTTTTTATACTTTCTATACCACGTTTTGTTTAGCAGGATAATCTTCACATATTACCAAATGTTGTGTTCTGAAGCGTAAACGCAATCGGCAGATCTGAAAAGCTAACGTTAGACTCTAAACAAACTACATCGAAGTGGCATGGCTGCGCGTCACAACCACTATAAGTAGTCTCATTCAGCCACTTGTTAGCAACTATAGTTTAGATTACACTTCTGACATTCACCAGTGGAGTATTTGCTTATGTATTTTATGTCGTAGAACAAAACGGCCAAATGTTTTCAGGAGGTCTTGTTAACCACACATCATGTTTCACCAAAATCATGTTAAAAAAACCTTTGACTTCGAGGGTTTTAGGGCTCATTACTGAACCACTCTATTACAAGAAGCATGGTCATTTTACTTTCATTTGTAGTCTGGTAAATATGGAGCATTAGCAATAGAACAAATGACATGAAATAAATTATTATAAAGGCAATAATACTTCCTATTCCATTATCACCAGAGAATACAGATATATTTTTGTTCTAATACTTAGTTCATCTCCTGTGTTTTTAAAGAACCTTTCATAATCACACTTACAACAATCTAAGTTGAAAAGCCTCTATGACATACTGTACTCAATAGAAAAATGAATATCATTAGTTTCACAAAGGTAGGATTTATTATACGGTTATATAGTGGAGTGCATTAGTTGATTTGAATTACTTCATTGTGTCTTTAATGTAATCCAGTGTGTTACCTAACTGTCAGTTGCTGTGTTATTTCTTTGCTTTCCAGCCATCGTTGATCCTAACGGCTGTGATTGGGAATGATGCTTTTTGTTGTTTTATTTTTGAAACACGTAATTGGTATAGCAGGCACATATACTGTCCAGTGGCTGTTTCAACAAAAGCTTGACAGATGACAGCTACAGTATATCTGTATTGATATCTGATAGAAGAATAGAAAGTGGGAAACTTAAATAAAGACATTGTTTGATGAATTGCAGTGTCTTCATAACATACATTTCAATTTTATTTTCAAATGTGCTCAAATCATTGTCAAATGTATTTTTTTTAAACGTTCAAATTTGAAAATAAGGGGGGACTTCAGGTGTTTACACATGAAGATCAGTTTACTTGTAACACAGATTGCTCCTCTAACTGTAAAAGCAGGTGTTAATTGGCCTCTTTAGTGGTGAATGCAACTTTCTGAGAAAATTATATCAGAAATCTGAGATTTTAAACAGAAAATATGTGTTACATAGATGGGTTTTGGAGTCTTGAGGCATTTGCATTTACTGGTCAAACAATAGAAGTTATGAGTCTGCGTACACATTTAATAACAGCTGGTAAATTAATATTATTGGATATCTTTTTGAACCCCTAACCCAAACCCCAATATCAGTATCTCCATAACCCTAACTCTAAATGCAATATGATGAAATACAGAGCCTAAAGCGGGCACTTTTAAAACTGATCATTTGTGTTTGTCTATTAACCAAGCAGTAAGTATTTGTCTTATGTATCAAATTAAAAATAATTAGCTGTTACCTGTTCTCACTGTCTGCCAGCCTATGGAGAAGGGGGTCCTGGCCTGCACCATGTACCTGGTGACAGGACTGTGGTTGTCAGGTCCCGAGCCCCAGGACAGCTGCACAGTGGTGTCGGTGATGTCCGTCACCACCAGGCTCTCCGGGGCACCAGGGGGTCCTGCAAAATCAAGAAACATCCAGAAACATCCAGAAACATCCAGAAACATCCAGAAACATTCAGAAATATCCAGAAACAAGGACAGACACATGGTCAGAAACATCCAGAAACATCAAAGAAACATTCAGAAACATCCAGAAACATCCAGAAACATCCAGAAACATCCAGAAACATCCAGAAATATCCAGAAACAAGGACAGACACCTGCGTCAGTTGCATAGCAGCTGAATCAAATGAAATCACTTCAGGGTGGCACGGCAGACTCAAGGGTGATTCATAACTCAGATAACAGCCTCCATTCAGGGCTAGTGAATATATAATGGATTCTATTGAGAGTATCAGTCAAATCAATATGCTGATTAGTGCAGTTCACTGAAGTTAGAACATCTACTGTTCGAGTGTTCTTATTTTAGAGGGTTGAGAAAGGTGATGGTACACCAAGAGGTTTTTTTCCTGTATCTGTATCTTGTGAGTTATACCAACACTAAGCACCTTAAGGGAATCTATTTACTCCATTGGGAGAAGTGAACTTAAGCAAAGATTTGTACTGATTATGCTGCCCCATTGTGCCAAATTGAATATTACACATAGCATATATCAGTATGCAGGTATAAACCGAAGAGATGGAGGGGAGGTTGGTTTAGATTTATGTAGAAAATGAAATATAAGTAATGTCCTCCCCGTCTCATCATGTGCAACATAAGATCATTGGCTAATGAGAATGGACAAGCAGAGTTAGCTAGGAGTCAAACAAACAAGCTAACAGTGTTAGCTAGGAGTCACAGAGAACATCTTTACCGATTGAATGAAGGTTGCTTTGGATTAAAGTGTCAGCTATAGAGCATGTGATGTAATTATTCAGATGGACAAACCACAAGAACATTTTTGTTTGTGTTAGACACGAGATTTGGCAATTCAGAGATAGCCAAGGTGCACAATCACGTTAACTTGTATTTTTTAATGCTAACCATGTTGTTATTTTGTAACCATATAATGTTGGCTAAAAAAATATATGCATTAGACTGTACCAAGACAGAAGAGTATATTATCTAATACCAGTGGCATAGCTCGCAAATGGTCATCTTTGATAGAGCCTATTGGCGAATGATTTGTCAATT